TGGAATAGGATAATATTGTGTAGTGAACGATAAAGTTAGTATACGCTATGAGGTAATTTTCTTGTTTAATTATTTACTAGTACATACTATTTTATTTTGGTTATTTGTTCGGCAGAAAAAAATAGCAACAGATTGTGTTCTGTGGCTGGTCAGAGCAATGATGATGAAGATTATCTGAACCAGTGGATTTACAATAACTTTATTATTATCAGAGAAAAAAATATCAGATAACTCATACTAACTATTGCAATTCTAATCAAATCTGAACATTGTAAAATTCAAAGAAGTACAATCATCGTGTATTTATGCAATACTAAATAATAAAAATGTTTAAAATACAAAAATACACACAAAAAACACCATTTGGCAATCAAAAATTGTCGCTTGTGTTAATTTATATTACGTAGATAACTCATACTAAATATGCAAATATCAGATAACTCATACTAAATATTGCAATTCTAATCAAATCTGAACACTGTAATTCAAAGAAGTACAATCATCGTGTATTTATGCAATACTAAATAATAAAAATGTTTAAAATACAAAATACACACAAAAAACACCATTTGGCAATCGAAAATTGTCGCTTGTGTTAATTTATATTACGCAAAAAATCATAATGCATAAAAAACACTAGTCAGGGGGGTAAGAAAACTAAGACATCTCATATATTACAATCAATGCTGCTGTCATCTTTACAAAGAAACGACTATGACGTAGAATGAGTAAACTATGACGTAGCAATGAGAAAAATATGACGTACAATGAGATAACTATGACGTAGCAATGAGAAAACTGTGACGTAGGAAATGGAAGACTATGACGTTGGCATTTATTGATTTGTTACGTTTAGACCTACATTCCTCGATAATTGACGTTTACGACAAGTAGACAAAACAATATTGAAATATGTGACCATCTATTTAACAACAACTCTATAGTTTGTCTCTATCCCGGTATTCTTCCTCTTCTCCGGATGGAGGTTCGTATATTCCATTGATAATTGAGCGCACAGTATCTTCTAATTCTTTTTGACGTGCCTTGATACTCTCCGTGTTTGCATCAGGATTATACTCGAGCCATTCAATTACATTATCGGAGGACAGAGTAATAACATTCTTTTGCTCGCCTATCAGTGCCGCCAAGTTTCTTCTCATCGTTGACTTGTTTCTTCAAAGTATAAGCATATCCTTCGAGCTCATTACTTGCTTCACCTCTTTCTTTGCGTTTGATGTCTTCGTCCGCAAATTGTTTGGCTTCTCCGACCATTCTTTGGATATCTTCGGGTGAAAGTCTATTTTGGTCGTTGTCGAATGTAATTGTCTCTTTATATCCCGTGCCTATGTTTTCCACAGTCATCCACAGTATACCCTTAACGTCTACCTCGAAAATTATGCTAATTTGTGGCTTACCACGTGGTGCAGGTGGGATGGCTTTCAAAACAAATGTACCCAATAAGTGATTATCTTTCGTCATCGGATGTTCGCCTTCAAATACTCTAATCGTGACAGATGGCTGGTTCTCTTCAGTCAGAGAAAAGGTTTTTGACCTTCTCGTCGGGATTGGAGTATTTTTGGGAACAAGTTTGGTCAGTTTACCGCCAACAGTTTCAATTTCTAGAGCCAATAAAGTGATATCGAAAACTACAATGTCCTCTGAAATCAAAAAAGAAAAACTATGACAATGAATATAAAATCAGTCGATTCTACAATAACTACAAATTCCACTACCACGTGATCAAAACTATACATTGCAACTATCTATTCACGGTGACGTCACCTCACGTCATCAACTTTTCCTTTGTAATAACACAAACAATATTTTATAGTTCGCTGTTCAAAAAAGAAAATCAGCAAATAATAATAAGAATATAAAAACTTCTACTATTATAAACTTACTTGTCCCCGTGTCCCCAGCTAGTATGCCACCCTGCACCGCAGCCCCATAGGCAACAGCTTCGTCAGGATTTATACCAAGAGATGGCTTCATTCCATTGAAAATATCTCTCACCAACTGTTGTATTTTGGGGATACGAG